TGACGTTTGAAAACGACATAACTCCAATTCTGGACTCGTAAGGATCAGTACTATCGACTGGCATCAAAAAATAGAAAATCTAAATTTTGACCCAAATCGACCAAAATGGCAAGGGGTTACATCACGATTTTTATCAAAATCGGGTTCGGTTCGAAAATCAAACCTTTTTTGCTGATTTTTTTGAATATCTCGGCCAAATAGTGTCCGATCTTCAAATTTTATACCATTTTGGACTCGTAAGGATCAGTACTATCGACTGGCATCAAAAAATATAAAATCAAAATTTTGACCCAAATCGACCAAAATGGCAAGGGGTTACATCACGATTTTTATCAAAATCGGGTTCGGTTCGAAAATCAAACCTTTTTTGATGATTTTTTTTGAATATCTCGGGCAAATAAAGTCTGATTTTCAAATATTATACCTCTTTGAATTTGTATGCTTTCTGGCGAAATTATGACGTTTGAAAACGACATAACTCCGCCGCTGATCATGGCGAGATTATGTCGTTTTGAAGCGACATAACTCCGCCGCTCTAAAAACGACATATATCCGCGGAAGATATGACGTTTGAAAACGACATAACTAAAATTTTGGACTCGTAAGGATCAGTACTATCGACTGGCATCAAAAAATAGAAAATCTAAATTTTGACCCAAATCGACCAAAATGGCAAGGGGTTACATCACGATTTTTATCAAAATCGGGTTCGGTTCGAAAATCAAACCTTTTTTGATGATTTTTTTTGAATATCTCGGGCAAATAAAGTCTGATTTTCAAATATTATACCTCTTTGAATTTGTATGCTTTCTGGCGAAATTATGACGTTTGAAAACGACATAACTCCGCCGCTGATCATGGCGAGATTATGTCGTTTTGAAGCGACATAACTCCGCCGCTCTAAAAACGACATATATCCGCGGAAGATATGACGTTTGAAAACGACATAACTCCAATTTTGGACTCGTAAGGATCAGTACTATCGACTGGCATCAAAAAATAGAAAATCTAAATTTTGACCCAAATCGACCAAAATGGCAAGGGGTTACATCACGATTTTTATCAAAATCGGGTTCGGTTCGAAAATCAAACCTTTTTTGATGATTTTTTTTGAATATCTCGGGCAAATAAAGTCTGATTTTCAAATATTATACCTCTTTGAATTTGTATGCTTTCTGGCGAAATTATGACGTTTGAAAACGACATAACTCCGCCGCTGATCATGGCGAGATTATGTCGTTTTGAAGCGACATAACTCCGCCGCTCTAAAAACGACATATATCCGCGGAAGATATGACGTTTGAAAACGACATAACTCCAATTCTGGACTCGTAAGGATCAGTACTATCGACTGGCATCAAAAAATAGAAAATCTAAATTTTGACCCAAATCGACCAAAATGGCAAGGGGTTACATCACGATTTTTATCAAAATCGGGTTCGGTTCGAAAATCAAACCTTTTTTGATGATTTTTTTGAATATCTCGGCCAAATAGTGTCCGATTTTCAAATTTTATACCATTTTGGACTCGTAAGGATCAGTACTATCGACTGGCATCAAAAAAAAGAAAATTTAAATTTGGACCCAAATCGACCAAAATGGCAAGGGGTTACATCACGCTTTTTATCAAAATCGGGGTCGGTTCAAAAATCAAACTATTTTTGACGATTTTTTTGAATATCTCGGCCAAATAGTGTCCGATCTTCAAATTTTATACCATTTTGGACTCGTAAGGATCAGTACTATCGACTGGCATCAAAAAATAGAAAATCTAAATTTTGACCCAAATCGACCAAAATGGCAAGGGGTTACATCACGATTTTTATCAAAATCGGGTTCGGTTCGAAAATCAAACCTTTTTTGATGATTTTTTTTTGAATATCTCGGGCAAATAAAGTCTGATTTTCAAATTTTATACCATATTGGACTCGTAAGGATCAGTACTATCGACTGGCATCAAAAAATAGAAAATCTAAATTTTGACCCAAATCGACCAAAATGGCAAGGGGTTACATCACGATTTATATCAAAATCGGGTTCGGTTCGAAAATCAAACCTTTTTTGATGATTTTTTTGAATATCTCGGCCAAATAGTGTCCGATTTTCAAATATTATACCTCTTTGAATTTGTATGCTTTTTGGCGAAATTATGACGTTTGAAAACGACATAACTCCGCCGCTGATCATGGCGAGATTATGTCGTTTTGAAGCGACATAACTCCGCCGCTCTAAAAACGACATATATCCGCGGAAGATATGACGTTTGAAAACGACATAACTCCAATTCTGGACTCGTAAGGATCAGTACTATCGACTGGCATCAAAAAATAGAAAATCTAAATTTTGACCCAAATCGACCAAAATGGCAAGGGGTTACATCACGATTTTTATCAAAATCGGGTTCGGTTCGAAGATCAAATCGAAAATCAAACCTTTTTTGATGATTTTTTTTGAATATCTCGGGCAAATAAAGTCTGATTTTCAAATATTATACCTCTTTGAATTTGTATGCTTTCTGGCGAAATTATGACGTTTGAAAACGACATAACTCCGCCGCTGATCATGGCGAGATTATGTCGTTTTGAAGCGACATAACTCCGCCGCTCTAAAAACGACATATATCCGCGGAAGATATGACGTTTGAAAACGACATAACTCCAATTTTGGACTCGTAAGGATCAGTACTATCGACTGGCATCAAAAAATAGAAAATCTAAATTTTGACCCAAATCGACCAAAATGGCAAGGGGTTACATCACGATTTTTATCAAAATCGGGTTCGGTTCGAAAATCAAACCTTTTTTGATGATTTTTTTGAATATCTCGGCCAAATAGTGTCCGATTTTCAAATTTTATACCATTTTGGACTCGTAAGGATCAGTACTATCGACTGGCATCAAAAAATATAAAATCTGAATTTTGACCCAAATCGACCAAAATGGCAATCACGATTTTTATCTAAATCGGGTTCGGTTCGAAAATCAAACCTTTTTTGATGATTTTTTTTGAATATCTCGGGCAAATAAAGTCTGATTTTCAAATATTATACCTCTTTGAATTTGTATGCTTTCTGGCGAAATTTTGACGTTTGAAAACGACATAACTCCGCCGCTGATCATGGCGAGATTATGTCGTTTTGAAGCGACATAACTCCGCCGCTCTAAAAACGACATATATCCGCGGAAGATATGACGTTTGAAAACGACATAACTCCAATTCTGGACTCGTAAGGATCAGTACTATCGACTGGCATCAAAAAATAGAAAATCTAAATTTTGACCCAAATCGACCAAAATGGCAAGGGGTTACATCACGATTTTTATCAAAATCGGGTTCGGTTCGAAAATCAAACCTTTTTTGATGATTTTTTTGAATATCTCGGCCAAATAGTGTCCGATTTTCAAATTTTATACCATTTTGGACTCGTAAGGATCAGTACTATCGACTGGCATCAAAAAATATAAAATCTGAATTTTGACCCAAATCGACCAAAATGGCAATCACGATTTTTATCTAAATCGGGTTCGGTTCGAAAATCAAACCTTTTTTGATGATTTTTTTTGAATATCTCGGGCAAATAAAGTCTGATTTTCAAATTTTATACCTCTTTGAATTTGTATGCTTTCTAGTGAAATTATGACGTTTGAAAACGACATAACTCCGCCGCTGATCATGGCGAGATTATGTCGTTTTGAAGCGACATAACTCCGCCGCTCTAAAAACGATATATCGCCGCGCTCTAAAAACGACATATATCCGCGCGAAGATATGACGTTTGAAAACGACATAACTCCAATTTTGGACTCGTAAGGATCAGTACTATCGACTGGCATCAAAAAATAGAAAATCTAAATTTTGACCCAAATCGACCAAAATCGGGGTCGGTTCAAAAATCAAACCTTTTTTGACGATTTTTTTGAATATCTCGGCCAAATAGTGTCCGATCTTCAAATTTTATACCATTATGAAAAGTTTGGGTCTGCAAGGGTATTAGATCTTCGGCGTGCCGAAGATAGCCTTTCTTTCTCGTATTTTTATACCCTGAACCCATTAAAAATGGGTATAAGGGTATATTGTATCTGTGCAAAATCCAAATGTATGTAACAGGCCGAAGGAAACATCTCCGACCCCATAAAGTATATATATTCTTGATCAGCATCAATAGCCGAGTCGATCTAGCCATGTCCGTCTGTCTGTCCGTCCGTCCGTCCGTCCGTCCGTCCGTCCGTATGTATGAGTCAAAGGATCTCAGAACCTATAAGAGCTAGAGACTTGAAATTTTAGATGTAGATGCTCCTAGTTCCCGCGCAGATCGAGTTTGTTTCCGGTAATCGATAACGTACTCCGTTTCCAAGCAATCGATAAAAATCGATATCGACATACTGTTTTTTGGGCAAATTTGGTAAATAATGAGAGCTAGAGTCACCAAACATGATATGCTGCTTCTAGAATATTATAAATAACCCAATTTTTATTGCCAACCAATTTAAGCCACAATTTAAATGCAATTGACTTTTTCAGAATACACAAATATTCTCAATAAGATATACTGTAGAAAATTTCATAAAGATCGGTTAAGAAAAAACCAAAGTTATATGCAACTGCGCAATTGAATGGGGCAGCAGCTATAAGAATTTCTGTATACATGTACACACACACATTCATGCGCGTCTGCTTCGCATTCTAATAGCATGGTAATTTCATCTTTTCTATGGAATGTTATTTTAGTTCCTTTTTTATCATAAGTACTTAATTGTTGGTGTGGCTGCTGAGTAGAGGCATAGCAAGTGGTGCGGTCTGTCGCGAGTTCGAGCCCTATCGGGGTTTTTTTGAGTAGAGTCGACAGTAAGTAATGCGGTCAGTTGCAAATTCGAGCCCTGCCAAGGGAACTTTTTTTTATTAATTTATTTGGTGTTGGAATAAGAGGGTTCAGGGTATCCCCTAGTCGGGAGCTCCCGACTAGAACCTCTTACTTGTTTTTTTTTTGTTTTTTGTTAGAAATAGAAGTTTTCAATTTACATATACGTTTACATGGCAAATCTACAACCTCTGAAATTCCCCTAACATTTCGAAACAGATGCTAGTTTCTCGCTCTACACCGTTAGTGTCAAATGCCTTAAAGGTATAGACAAGCTTGTGTTGTCCAATTAAAGGTAATCCTTGTGCCTCCAAAAGTAAATCTACATCAAACGGTTCGTGAATAAATTTAGTCTAGAAGAGAATGACATATGCTGTTTATAAGTAGATTATATAACTAGATTACATAGAACTTACTCCAGGCAGAATACATTTCTCTCTAACTTGTTCCTTATTGATTATGTACTTTGACCAAAACTTGTACCAGTACTGTTCTTTTTCATAGAGAGATGCACAGAAGTCACGGACATGCATATTGAATACAGTTGGCTGCCAGGATCCACGATCGAAACGATTTAATTGAACAGAAATCTGAAATTAATAAAAATGATTGTGATGTTTCAATCCATTTTAATTTTATGTTAAAGATTATAACCTGAATGCGATCACCAGGTTGAATATTCCAGGCGCAGGTGAGATTGCCCGAAAAGCGTACCGACACAAAATCCGTTTTAAATGTTGACTCAGAGGTATCGAACAGTCCACTTACATTGAGTACGTTACTTGGTTTATTGGGACAATTGGTGAATACATCCTCATTTTCAAGACTGAATTTATATTTTATGGCACTCGATTGCCTTGCTAATAAAATCCAAATCAACACCTTGTACACAAAGTTTGGTGTGGACCACATCTTTTGGGTATTCGCGTTGATTAGTCGAATAGAATCTCGAATTGGTTTTGGTGCATTGCGGGCAGTGGCTATTTATACATCAGAATATGAATTATATAACACGTGCCTAGTACACAGCAATAATTCAACATGATTGTTAGATCGCACCTAATGTCCAACTGTCTGTTCTGGTACAAATTAATTATAACATACTGCAAAATATATATCGTTCAACATATACATACGTTTGTTGTTATACCCTTGTATTAATAACCGAGTCGATATAGTCCGCGTCCGTCTGTCCATCCGTTCGTCTGTCTGTTTCTATACGAAAAGAAGTCTCTCAGTTTTATAACTATCGCTATGAAACTTTGCAGAAGTGCCTCTTTCTGTTGCAGAACATATGTCGGACCCAGCTGGATCGAACCACTATGTCATATAGCCATAGGAACGATTGGTCGAAAATAAGGTTGTTGTATGGAACATTTTTTTGTTTATCATGATATCTTGACAAAACTCGGCATTAACTATTTTCCCTGTGCTTCTTAGATACGGGCAAAGCACTATAAGCATTTTGAAAATTTTGGGTCTGCAAGGGTATTAGATCTTCGGCGTGCCGAAGATAGCCTTTCTTTCTCATTTAATTTAGTATTGTAATTATAGTAATGTAAGTGGAAAATCGTCACTTTAATCGTTTGGTTTGATTTATAATTAATCACAGCAAACGATTATAATTTGTACAATATATTTTAACGCTTAAAATGTTATTCATTCTGTATTTGTCGCACATTTCGAGTCTATGTGTTTACCTATGCAACGTTTCAAGAATAAAGACCTTTTAGTGCCTTCTTTAGAATAATTTAATATCGCAAAGCATGCTATAAATAAGTTTTCTTAGTGGATCAGCCAGTGAATTAGAATCTCTGGCTAAATTATGGAATTATGCTCACCAATTTATCGGAATATAGTAACTATTATTGCACCAATATTATTTTTATTTACACAAAATATTATCTTCCAATTCTTGAAGCACACAAAACCTTTAAAAACGAATATTCACATATAAATTTGATGTTTTTTCCAAATATTATCTTATTAGAAATATAAAGTTACAATTTACATATATTTCTTGGCAAATCTACAACCTCTGAAATTCCCCTAACATTTCGAAACAGATGCTAGTTTCTCGCTCTTCTCCGTTAGTGTCAAAGGCCTTAAAGGTATAGACAAGCTTGTGTTGTCCAATTAAAGGTAATCCTTGTGCCTCCAAAAGTAAATCTACATCAAACGGTTCGTGAATAAATTTAGTCTAGAAGAGAATGACATATGTTGTTTATAAGTAGATTACATAACTAGATTACATAGAACTTACTCCAGGCAGAATACATTTCTCTGTAATTTGTTCCTTATTGATTATGTACTTTGACCAAAACTTGTACCAGTACTGCTCTTTTTCATAGAGAGATGCACAGAAGTCACGGACATGCATATTGAATACTGTTGGCTGCCAGGATCCACGATCGAAACGTTTTATTTCAAAAGTCAACTGAAATTAATAAAAATGATTGTGATGTTTCAATCCATTTTAATTTTATCGTAGGCTGTTTTGTATTCACTCAAACAATGTTAATGATTATAACCTGAATGCGATCACCAGGTTGAATATTCCAGACGCAGGTGAGATTGCCCGAAAAGCGAACCGACACAAAATCCGTGTTAAAGGTTGACTCAGAAGTATCGAACAGTCCACTTACATTGAGTACGTTACTTGGTTTATTGGGACAATCGGTGAATATATCCTCATTTTCAAGACTGAATTTATATTTTATGGCAAGACCTGGTACACAAACTTTGGTGTGGACCACATATTTTGGATATTAGCGTTGATGAGTCGAATAGAATCTCGAATTGGTTTTTGTGCATGGCTTTTTATACACCACAATAATAACTAAACATGTTTGTTAGATCGCACCTAATGTCAACATGCTTCTAGTTATATATATTTATTGTAATTTTTATCGTTTTGCTTGATTTAAATTAATCACAGCAAGCAATATATATAACTGTTTGTCCTGACTGAGTGACTGATTGGTGATCAACGCACAGCCCAAACCGTAAGAGCTAGGAGAAATTTTCACTGTTGTTACCTTATGTAAAGGTGCACGTAAAGTCGGGGTATCGGGAACTTCCTGAGCATGGAAAAATCGCGAAAACTTTTGTTTGAAACCTTTTTGCTTACCATCCGATCGGCCTTAAACTTAATTTTAAAGATCTTTGTTCAAATTCATTTGAGGGGTGCTTTACACTTTTCAAAAATGTATTCCTCCTTGGGGGAAATGGAGGTCAAAGATTTAGTGGATGACGTTTCGCGCTCAAATTCATTTTCAAAGATCTATATGAAACATCATTTGAGGCGTGTTTCACATTTTACGCAGAATCAAAGCATCCTCGGTAAGCAGTGCGGTTTAAGGACATCTTTGGTAAAGTTTTAAATTTTGTCCGATTTGCTTCAAATTTATTTTCAGAGCTCGACAAAAGAACTTAATAAATACGTGTTTCAACGATTTGGGAAATTTCACCCTCAACATTGGTTAATTTGCGAAAAATGGTTTTATGAAAATTTATTGTTTACCATCCGATCGGCCTCAAACTCATTTTCAAAGAAATTTGTTCAAATTAATTTTAGGGCTATTTCACACTTTTTTGAAAATCCATTTCTCCTTGGTGGAAATGAGGGTCAAAGATTTGCTGTGTGACGATGCACGCTCAAATTTATTTCCAAGATCTACATATATGACATGTGTTTCACATTTTTCACAAAACAAAAGCTAACTCCGTGAAAAGTGCGATTCAAAGATTTTTTGGTGAAGTCTAACAAGGGCGGAAACCTCTGATTTCAACATTTCGTTATTGATTCGATGCACTTTAAACATATTTTTAAATATAAGTGGAGCTTAAGATGGAACGAGTAGACTTAAATTTCCCTCGGGCGTGTACTGAGTGGAAAGGAAATATCTAAAAATTGTAGCAACGGGCAAGGCTGAGCAGTACCATATTTTAACGAGTTAACGTTTAACGTTTCAAGAATGAAGACTCTTTTAGTGCCTGTTTTATATTAATTTAATATCCTAAAGTTAGTAGAAGCTCAGCTATAAAACCGTGATTTAGATACAATATTCTTCAACCCAGAAGGCCCTATGTTCTCACCTCTTGTCTATATTAACGTTAAGGTACTTCATTAATAAGAATCAAGTAATAAACAATTTGAATTGTACCACATCATCAAATTAATCAACTCATCTATTCAGTAAAAAACCAAGTAAGAGGCTCTAGTCGGGAGTTCCCGACTAGGGGATACGCTAAACCCTCTTCTACCAACACCAAAAGCAATTCGCGCTACGCGATCGTTCTCTTTGACAGTAGTAAACATTAATTAAAAACAGGTAAGAGGTTCTAGTCGGGAGCTCCCGAATAGGGCATACCCTGAACCCTCTTCTTCCAACATCAAATGCATATATATATTCTATTTTAGAAGCTATATGTCAAGTTTGGTGACTCTAGCTCTTATTATTTTCCAAAATTGCCCAAAAAACAAGATATCGATATAAATTTTTATCGATTGCTTGGAAACGGAGGAAGTTATCGAGGAAGAACTCGATCTGCACGGGAGCTAGGGCACCTATATCTAAAATTTCAAGTCTCTAGCTCTTATAGGTTCTGAGATACAATTGATGCAATTTTCAACATTAGATCTTATTGTGCTAAAGAATATGTATATATTCTCAAAAGGTTAATTGCATTAAAATTGTGGCATAAGTTAGAGGGCAATACAAATTGGTTTATTTACTTAACTTATAGCTATGTGATATATATATACACTATTCTAGAAGCTACATATCAAGTTTGGTGAATCTAGATCTTATAACTTATAAGATTTGCCTAATAAATTGGTTTTCGATATCGATTTTTATGGATTATGGATTATCTTATAACTTATAAGATTTGCCTAATAAATTGGTTTTCGATATCGATTTTTATGGATTACTTGAAAACGGGAAAGTTATCGATAATGCGCCAGATGGACAGACGACCAAGTATATATATACTTTATGGGGTCGGATATGTTTCTGTCTGCCTGTTACATACATTTGCACAAATACATTATAGGGTATACAAATTTAAAATCATTTTTTATATTATTTATAGCCAGTTGCTATCTTTAACGTCAGTTGGTTTTGCGCAGCTTTTGTTTACCAAAACTTTTATTTAAGATTTTAAGAAACACATGATTATAAGTTGTTAATTTAATATTTTAAATATTTATAAACATATTCTACGAATTTGAAAGATGTGCCGCCACGTATCCTTTGCTATTTTGCGAATATAATTTATCTTATCTTAATATTAAAGTAAATATTAAAGTATACTATTCTCTAGATAAACGTTACCCAATCAAACTAAGGATTAAAGTATGTAACATTCATATACAGAATATTTTACAAATTTAATGAAATAATTTCTAGGTACATTTCGAAAAATGATAAAGGGCAGCTGCTTTAGTTTTTAAATTTCTTTCAGAGTCATTTGAGCTTAATATAAATTATAACAATTAGAATTATTGAACATGACTAATGAACAAATATTGATTTAAAACTATCACAATGAGCACAAAACGTCACAAAGGCCAAATATGTAAAATGGATAGGCAAATAGCCAACCCGAGAGGTTAATAAAACCAAGATACCAGCTTGTGCTCAGGGTGGGTTTGTACGCAGCCTGCGGCTGACTCCTTGCCTTGATTTGCATTGTGTGCCTACCTATAAAGCAAAAGGACACTGGGCAGATGACCCAGGCGGGCGACAGACAGAGATAGAGGGTTCAAATCTATAAAAACTAGGTTGAAATTATTTAATTTAGGTGATTTGATTTAGTGTGTAAAACTGGGCTGCTATTATTTAGGTGCTGTCACGGATGTGACTATGAATCGCAGGACATGCTATATGGGCTACGCATTAGGAGTATATTTGAATAAATTGCGTATTT